CTTTAGAAGATAAGATATCTAAAAGATTGCTAATACTTTCTGTCCAATTAATTAGTCCATGGAAAATTTTTTTACAGAAAAATACTCTAGAATGATAAAAATATAAAATTTTTCGTAGAAATAACTAAAATTTTGGGGGAAAGACTGATCCTCACTAATCTCAGCTAATCAGGATATCCATGAGTAAAGTAGATAACGAATGATTATCAGTTAGGCATTCAATAATATTGTGTTCTTTTCACATTTTCAAGTTTCATAGGATAAATTTATAATATAATTCTTTTCACCACTAAATCCTTTCAAATGAACTTTATGTCTTAATTTCTATTCTTATTTCCAAATCAATTCTGAGTACTGTCTCTTTTAATACTTATCGAGTATATTGAGAAAGTAACTCTACTTTAGTTAATCTCTTTTTTTTTCTAGAGCTGAGATTCCACATTTATATGAATCCGATAGTCGAGCTTTTTTTTTTACCAATATCTGCCATCTTCTGTATATGTTTAAGTAAAATAATCAGAGTTCAATTATTTATTAACTACTGTCAGAAAAAAGTCAAAGTAAAGTTTTTTCTTGTTGTTTATCTTTTTAAATATATGATCTAACATTAAATCTGAATATAAGTCCGAAGCGATAAAAAGTAATAGTATGGATCCGAATTTCGGTCTGGAAGGATTTATAGCTCTTACGACTGTATATTATCATATTCTTGTTTATAAATACTCATGTAATAAAATTATATTAAAATCTTTTGAAATCATATTTTAAATACTTTTTTTTTTATATGGAAAGTTCCTGTAAGTCTTTTACTTTAATTCATATTGAAAATTAATGTATTATGAAAAGAGAATAATATGATATATCGAATAAAATAAATAATTTAATATTAATTTATCATTTAATAATTAGAATATTCAAAATCAAATATCTTACCAGTAAAGAGTTGTACATCAATTTCTTCATTCATACAAAAAATATTAAGTTGATATAAATTACAATACTCAGCAGCAAGAAGAATACGTTCGATAGATAATGTTTCGAGAGTAAAACATTTGATTTTATGACAAATTTTAGGCAAGATTTGAAAATAGAATCGATCAAGCACTATAGCAGGTAGTGTAGATGTAAGATCACCTAATGAATTATATTTTATTAATGGAATTTCATTAGTAAAAATAGGATCACCGATAATTTGATCTAATTGCATATTAATATCCTTTAAAGAATAAAGTACTTCATCATTATTTAATTTCTTGAAAATAATTATAAGTATTTCAACAGGTAAATCCATCAATTGAACAAATGAATATTTCATGTCTATTATTATTATCTTCCATTCTTTTTAGCTCAGAAATATCTGTATTATATATCTCTTCTCATTTATTTTACGTGACCGCCGAGGTCAATATAAACAAAGCATTTCTTTTTCTTTAATTAAATTCGACTATGAACCAATGAATAATAGCCTTTCTCTTTCATTTTATTTCGTCAATATTTTTCTTATATTCTTTATTATATTCATATTTTATTATATTTCTATTTATGAACATTACCTATCAGCACACTACTGTGCTTCATCACACTTTCTTTCTCTTCAATGTAAACCGATAAAAAAAATAATTTCTATTCAATAAGAAAATCAATCTTATACTTTGAATTATTCTTTATGACATGTTTATCAAATTGTAAAGGAACTAATCGTGATAAATTTTGTTTCTAATTCTCTTGAAATAAAAAACAAAAAAAATCATTAAAAGATTAAAATTTATTATAATAAAATCAAAAACTTCAATGTAAATCACAAACTATTTTGTATTACATTGCATCCTTAATCAGGATTTCATCTTTTGTTTATCAATACAATCAAACCAATATTTCATTTATCATCATCTCGATAATTGTCACTTAAAGACTTTTCCTATTGAAGAAATGATATATACAGTGGAGTGCAAAAAAAATTGCCGTTGCACTTACGCATTTTCTCGAGTCATATCTGTGAAGCGCATGAACGGATTCTTCTGAAACTTTTATCAGTAATCAAGGATGTACTATA